GCTCGTCGGGGGGTTCCCTCGGCGGGGCTGGGGGCGAGGGTGGCGATGCCGGCCTTCCCGCAGACATCCCGCATCGCCGCGACGAGGGCGAAGGGGAGCTCGTGGAAGCCGCCCCCGCGGCGGGCCGCACAGGCGCGGCAGGCCAAAACCCGCTCCGGGACCTGAATTTGCACCGGCTCGTGCGCCACCTTTCGGCAGACGTGGCAGCCGAAGTAGACGAGAGCCAGGTGGGCCGCGTAGGTCGCGGCGGTCACGAACTGCTGGCGCTGGGGCTGGGAGGGGTCGGGGGGTGGGGCACCGGGCTGCCCCTTCCTCGCCGTGCTGGCGCCAAACCGCGGCTTCCCCGTCGTCGCCGTCTCAGAGCGGGAAAAGCGGCTGGAGAGGCCTGAGGCGGGGAAGGCAAAGGCGTTCTCGTCCCCCACATCCAAATGGGCCCGGGGCACGAAGGGGTTGCGCAGGTAGGTCAGGTGGGGCTCCGCCGTGGTCGGCTTCGGGGGGTCCGAGGCCCGCCGCGGGGTGAGGGGGTCGAAGGTTGCCGCGGGGTTCCCCGTCGGTTTCGTGAAGGATGGGGTGCGCGCCGATAGCACGGCCGGCTTCGCCCCCGTCATCCCGGCGCTACGGTCGAGGTTGGGCGTACTCGCATGCCGTTTGGCGGTCACCTCCGGCGAGGATGGGATTTTGTCGTCGCCCGTGATCCGATCAAAGGCTACTCCAGGTGGTGCCGAGTCCGTCCCTAGGTGTTCACTATCATGGGATGATATAAAGGATGATGAATCTGTCGAAGGAAGTCGCGCACCTTCGATTATAGGATTTGCAGCCATTAAGTAATTTTTGAAAATAAATTACTTAGATTATACAGCTAAGCACACTAGCTATAATGGGGATTTTTTCCTAAATTAAACTGAAGAAAGTTTATCAAACCCTTTTATAGAATATAAAGGAAATAAAATAGATAAACTGAGCCGATATCGCATGCATAATATAAACTTTATTCGTTTAAAGAGCTCGCGAAATATCTTTTTACTCCAAAACTTTGATTAAAATATGCATAATTAATTGGAATTACTACTAAATAGATATACAGTGGTTGTGCGACCAAAATAGTGCCAATGTTTTGATGAGTGCATTATTCTCTTTTCAGTTACTTTTTAAGAAGCACTCGTAGTAATGGGAAAACCCCCATTTAATTTGCCTTTAAATGAAAAGGTCATATGGATTACGTGATAAAAATGACTTTTAAATCAAAAATATGGTATTCTAATGGTAATCTATAGAACAGCAATAAGTAGTATTATCTTAACCCTGCTTATGGAGTTTTCGTCATTAATTTTTCTATAAATACCCTTCTTGAAGAAAAAGCAACATCTTATGTTTTGTATTCGTAAAAAATCACTATGAAACAATATTTTACAGCATAATAAAGCAAAAAAAATTATATATATATATATATATAGTGTAGTGACTTACATTCAAGGAAGACAATAATGTTAACATTAGATATAGTCAACATCAAAACTCCTTAGCTGTATCTCCTTATTTTTTAAACTACAGGATAGATTTTGCTATATATTTTTATTGTTCCTCATTCATAGTAACCTCTTTCCTTATGCCTACTTCCATTTATAAAATACCTTTAAGCTTATTTTGTGAAATGTGAGTTCTGTAGCATTGAATATATTCAATTTTAAAAAGCCTCATTTTTGTTTACACGTCAAGGATATCTACATATTTTTTGAAATGAAGAACAAAAAGAAAATAGTATACAAAATATTTTTGTTATACCACCTTCAATTCATCCCGCAATTTTATAGCTTCCTTGCGTAACTTTGGTAACGATTTAATACCCTTACAGCCCTTGCACTTCCAACCATGTGCGCGTAACTGCATTTTCGGAACATTGTAGCGTCCACACACTACGCAAAGTTTTGGAAGTTGGAAAGTCGATGAACCTTGTCCCTTGGAATCAATACTGCTAGAACTTCGAAAACTATCTCCCATACTTGCAGAATAGCTACTTATCATTTTGGATGGGGTTATCTTTATTGCTTGAGGATTCACTGGTACCATGAACTCGATGGGGATTGACATCGATAAAGGGTAACGATAGCCCGCAAGGGATAGCTTTGTTGGCATAAACTGCATCATCACTAAATTTGCACCTGTATAACGCACCACAACTCCGTTTAACTTACCATCACATACCTCATCCATGGCCTCACACCAATAGCTGTCTGTGAGGTGACTTCTAAGCGATTCACTCGAGGCTAATATTCTATATAAATCACCGGGGGCTGCAAAAGAGGAATCGAAATTCGGACTTTTTTCCTTTCGTAAAGTTATTGCCATTAAGCACTTGTTAGAAAAGGCATAAAATTCTTAAAAAAAAAGTCTTTAAAGTACTCTACTATTAGAAACTTTCAACAGCTTAGAGATGATGAAGACCTTTAAAAAAAAGCAGGCAATAAATAAAAATAAGATTTTAAATATACTTTGAGATAAAAGATGAAATGAAATTTGGGACGACAAAACAAAAAGGAAAATATCGAAGTTATAGAATTGATTAGTAAGCACATCATTATCCTTGGTACGGTTTACAGAAACAGCACTATATGAAATCGACCTAGAAAGGGTAAAAACTAAGTCACTTTTGTCAATAAACAATTCTATGCGCAACACTAAATAGCGCGTTTACGCATGCTAATTTTCATACACTTACAAAATTCCATGGAACAAAAAAATCATTGTCACACTAACAAAATTACTTATCTTCGCAACATATTAAGTGATATTAAAAGTAACGAACTGTGTGGCGTAGGTGGGTAGACTCCTATTACCTACCCCCCTCACTCTTTTTTTTGCTTGTTTATTATTATATTTCAATTTGAACAGGTACTTCTATACTATCCAAAAACTCAAGAAGCGGCTTCGAGAAGGGAAAAGGCGAAATAAGATGTCGGGTAAAAGTTGGAAACGAAGATTCTTGCGCAGAAAGTGTCGATGAGTGCACATTGCCCTTTGAAGAAGCTACAACGTAAACCATATTCTTTACTGTTTCCTCTAGAGCCATTCGTAATAGAGAAGCCTCTTCCATAAAGTACTCAGTGTTCGCACCTTTAATTCTTGACAGTCCCACATCATCACGCTCGTTCAGCGTATTGCCTTGAGCAAGTGGAGTAGTGTACACGATATAAAAAGTACTCAGAATAGACTGCCATAGCGTCCGTAACATCTCCGGCGAATTCTCCAGAATCGACATGTGGTGTAGAAATACTTTGGAAAGGATATTAATAATACAACTTTTATCTTCTGCCGAAGCGGGTTTTACTTCGATTGATAATGGTGGCAAGACTAACTGTTGCAGTGAGGCTACCCAGGTGTCAGATGAATTCAGCATCCCTGACACGTGCAAAGGGTCTGAGGTACACAATTGAGGAGGAAAGGCAGTGGTAGGAGCTAAAGTGGATGGAGTAGCGCATATCGTTTCAGTCAGAGGAAATAAAACCATGTTATAAGCAGATTCAATAGCGGCAGCATCCAATGTACCCGGTTCCATATCCAACACCGCGTGTCGAAGTGCGAGCATAGCGCCCCCCCTGGCTCGTGAACCCTGTGAGGAAGATAATATGAGACTTGACAGACTCTGAAGTGAAAGAATCCATAACTGTTTCCAGTTGATATCTGTCTGAAGTGGAGTTATACTATCCGCAATAGTCTCTCGAAGCCCTGCTTTTGCTAGGTGGTGTGTATTAGGGCAAAAAGAGGTTAACCCTTTACGCAGACGAACAATATTGCTGCTGCAATAGCCCAGGATCTCAGCAAAAATGATCTCCTCTGAGGAAGCGGATTGTGAAGCGGACTGCTGAAGTTCTGTCAAGTTCTTCTCACCCCCGTGGGAAAAAGGAAGATCGACAGAACTCAAACCTTGTGATTTATGTCCTTGTTTTTGCTTCTTATGCAAAATTTCGAGACTTAGCACCAGCTTGAGGAGCAAACTCATCTCAGATTCTAGATTGTACATCGCATTTTTTACAAGGTATAACAAAATGGTTTCAATTTTGGGGAGCACAGTTGGATCAAGGGTGAGAATGTCCAGTTTTGTAACACTGTCAACCAAAAACTGAACCACAGGAAAAGCCTGTGAGAATTGGAAGGAGAAAAAAACAAAGGAATTAGTTCGCCCATCTTCTTGATCCATAATAGCTTTTTCTCTAACAGCCCCAACGCTCATGATCCAGGATGACAAAAAATTGACTAGTGGAAGTACTACAAAGTCGTTGAAGGCTGGTTTCGGTACCGATAAGAGAACCTTTAAAATATTATGCATAATAGTTGCGGAGGTCTCAAAATCATGTTTTGGAATGAACAACGACTTCAAAATATCCAAAACCGTCGCAATGGTTTTGGATATAAGCTTCGAACCGATCCACAGGGTAGTCACATTCGTCTTCATTCCATTCGAGAGTTGGCCAGTGAAGGCGTTTTCATCATTCGTGTGCGAATTCCTTAGGTCACAACTCACATACGCCTTGAACTGAGTGCTGAAAGTGTCCTGTAAGTAATTTAGATATGAATGAAACACCTCTTGTTCATCCAGATACAACGTCGTAGCAGCGACACACGCCGTTACGAAGCTGAGTTTGTGGCAGCTGAATGCCAGGGAGTTTGGCTTCACACTGTGAGAATGCACGGAGAAGGTGGAACTGCAGTCAGCGTTCATAAAAGCCCTCAGCAGCTCCGCACGGGCGGTGAGTGAGAGACTGCCCATCATACACAGAATCTCCTGCATGTCTGGGATACACTCCCGCACGCGAGTCTCAAGCTGCGTGCCAAGTATCGAACCAGAATTGGTGTCCTCCCGTTGCCGGCCGTCATTTTCTTTGTAATTAAATGCGCTGCCCCAGAATGCAGAAAGCCATCCAACGATCTTTTTCGTCTGCGCCGGATTTTGTATATAATCTATACTATACAACGTCGCAAGGTCTGGGGGTCTAAAGACTGTCTCATTTAAGCAAAGGAACGATGCGTATGTTATTTCGTCTCGAGAAAAGCTAGCTACATCGCCATTCGGACGGATTTGTACCGCAAGCATGCCTAGCAAGTACAAATTCAGCAACAAATCGCCTATTACCGACCAGCTGTTCCTCAAGCTTAGCGCAGTCGATTGAAGGAGAGAAAGAATCTCCTTAATAAGCAAAAGTTTAGGTAGGTTTCGATGCAAATCGTCCACCGCGTCCATCCCTTCAGAAAAACTCACGTGAACATAAGACGTTAGAGTCATAACACATTCATCGGAAACCTCATGCTGCCCCAGTGCGGTCGCCGATAGAGCCAACATTCGGATACCCTGGATACTCGAGAATAAAGCCGATGTTTCCTGCGGGAGAATGGCGTGAGCGTCATCTAAGGCATCTTTAAGCGTGGAGCCACGAGGATTCAGCCGCATTACCTGTGTACATAGGTTTCCTAGCAGGTGTTTGAAGATCTGAAAACAGCGATTTTGTATTACATTGAAAACATATGGGTCCAATTCTGAAAGCATTCTTTCAGAATACAAAGAATAACCCATGGGTAGAGCTGATGAGGTGGTCATGGAGCATGGGTTGATTCCTTGGCTCCCGGACAGTCTAAATAGATTGCTGAAGTAGGAAAGTGCAAAGTTATCTTCGCCTTCAGAGCTAAAGCGGCTAATCTCGAGATCCCACGTCACGTTGTTGGCAAAGCCACGGTTTACCATTTCCGCCATGACCAACTCGTCCCGCTTCACATCATTATAAATGTTGAATAGATATTCATCAGGAAGACTGTCACCATTGTCGATAGAGCGATTTATGTTTTTAAAGTCGTTTTGAGTCATACATTTTTGCATTTTTCCGGAGTGCAAATCCGTGTTGAGCATGATGATAGCAAAGGAAAGCACAAAAGCTCCAGATTCGCTACTAAAGGGGTTAATGAGTTTTTCGGAATTTTTATTGTGTAAATACCACTGTTTGGAAAAGACCTCTATGACGCGGTCAATCTTCTGGGACTCGCCTGGGAGACAGAGATGGTAAACCAGCTCACGTATAGATGTTAGAAGAGGCTTATTAACAAAGACAAACTCACCAACAAACCCCTCAAGTTGCTGTTGGAAAAAGCGCACAGTACCTGGGAAAAGGTGATCTTCAGAACGGTTCTTCTCCCAGACCTCTACCGCAGTGGTGACTGTTCCATCGGAAAGCATCACAACCTCATCTTCCGGTGGTTTTGGTAGCCTTTCAGTGCCAAGTTCGCCAATATAGTTGCCCAGGACCCTCTTATTTAGTAAATGGCTTAGGCGATATAAACATTGACCGATTTCATATCCTCCAGCTGGCTCCACAAGCATAAGCCAAGAGCTATGGCTTTTGGAAGCCTGTTTCCCATCGATAGCCTTGGCGCGTATGCTATTTTCTAATAAAAATGGAATGCCTTTTTTTAGAGGGGAATCCTCAATAAGGGCTGCAAATTTAAGCAAAAGATCCTTTTGCGTATACATATGCTCAACTATCACTTTCCACTCATAGGCGGTATTAGACCCGTCGTCCGGGGTAGACTGAGGGATTGGGTAACGGCCTTTCGACAGCCGCAAAGCAAAATTTGACACCATATCTCTGGCGGCATCAAGAGCAACAAGCTCAATTCGGCTAATAGGAAGTATAACGGATTTCCTGTCTTCTGCATCACCATCGTTTACATCTGTCTTCTGATTATTCTGAGTATGTTGAACCGACACGCCACAGTCATCGGACGTGAATGACGAAAACGCGTTGTCATTAGTGCCTAAGATGCCTGGGCAGGCACTTTCAACGAGCACATTGCACAACTGTGGGAGCAGAGAGTGACATCGCCACGATAGGTCGTAATGAAGAAAACAGAAGTTGCAAAAAAACGGATTGCTGCACAACTCGGCAAGACTCTCTAAAAAAATTTCACGGCACTCAAGCGCACCATTAGACTGCGAATACGGAATGTCATCAAATAAACCATCGGTCGAAAAAGACTGATGACCCTTGGAATTCAGGGGCAGTAACGTAGCGGTACTGCGGGTGGAACTAGTGAGATACGAACGAATGTTGGTAGTTTGAGAACTATTGATTCGATTTATCCTCCGCGTCGATGTGATAATTGGGTTAAGATATATAAAACGCAAAAAATTAAATATCTGTGGCACCAAACAATGTGAAGCGTTTTTAACTAAAATATAAATAAGGCGCAGCACCAGAGCTAATACAACAAAATGAGGTGTCCTCATGGCTGTAACCAGCAGAGCCCGGCTGATATTATTCTGTACAACTGATAAAAGTGCCACAGAACAGGAATCCGACAAGTGGTCTTGAATGGTCAAGAGAGCTGCTTGTGCCAACGAAAGACCCTCTAGCTGAATTGTGGGACTATTCCGATCCGCCACAACGGAAAATCTAGTGCTCTCTGACCTTTGCGAACTATCCTCATCGGATAGGATATTGCCCTCTGCATCCAGCGTGGTCACATCAGTGCTAATAATAGAGCTGATGTAACGCATCATCGAGGCTCCGTCGAGTGATGTGGGGGTGGATAAGGTAGATGTATCGCTGCTATTGTGGATCGAAAGGGATTTGGACTTCAACGAAGAGGGCTCCCCTCCGCTTGTGGTGAGCCCTTGAGCAAGGCTCGGATGGGGTGGAGTGGGGGACCCCAAGGGGTCCAGGTTACCGGCGCCCTGACGGTGAACTACGCGGCTGTAGAGGCAGGTCACCAAAAACGTCATGCAACCCTCCGCAACACGCTTTAACAAAGGCGTGGCCTCCGGTCGGAGAGAAATCACTAAGCCTCGGCGGACCACCTGGATGTAGACATCCTCGGGCAGCTCGATCGCGGCCTCAAGGCGTATGCCAGTGATGCACAGCTGCAGCGTGCGCGCGAGGAGGACCTCATGGGTGTCGGGATCCGAAACCACACTCCGCAGACTAAGGGCTGTCTCAATCGCCAGTTTCACCCCTTTTACACTGATCATAGAATGACAGAAATCCAATATGGTATCAATAGCGGAAAGGGCAACAATAATGATGGGCTCACCGATATCAGGACAGCGGCAGACTTCACAAAAAGGAGATAGTATTTCAGACTCCGACAATTTTTGAATCTGAGACAAGGATGATCGGGAAACCGATGTTGGTACCGTCGAAAAAAGCTCAATGGCTTCAGTTTGGGGTAGGTGAAGGCTGTCATTGCCCGCAACTTCAACATTCTTCGGATCGCCATAAATTGCATTGCGTATGCCGAGGTGATGATCTACTGGTGCCCAGTCAGAACAACCCGTTTGTGTACACGATAAGAGCTGCTTACGTAATTTCATTGCACTACATAGAAGTGGGTGGTCGTGAGCTTTGTGAATACTCTCATAGCGACCCTTGGATCTAAATTTGAGGCCTGATCGTAGTGCAAGTATCAAGTGATGAAGCTGTACAAGCACTACTTCTTTATCAAGATCCCATGCGAGTGCATGTTCCATGATGATTTACAAAGGACACAACCCTAGTCTAAGTATGCAGTCAAGTATAAGTAAAAATTAAAAGATTACTTGCAGGACTCGATACGCTTACTTCCTTGATTTAATTTTTAGATATACATATATATATATATATATATGTATATGTGCGTGTGTGTGTATATGTATATACAATATGTAGTTCAAGGTAAAAAACAGACAAAGGTTCTTTTACTTCTTTTCACTTTAGTTTTTACCTTGGAATCAAGAGCCCAACTATGTAAAAGCTAAATATACAAAGGGGAAATGGTGAAGTGCTGGCAAATTTTGTATGCACAAATCTACAAGATTATATATCTGAACAAAGGCAAAAAAAATATGCACTTTTTGTAGTAGAATTAACTAGAACGATGATCTCAGATTTGATTTTTTGATAAATCCGCCTAACCTGTTGCAGGGAAAGAAGTAATACCCTGGCTCATACCTAAAACAATTCAGGGCACATAATGAGTTAAGTGGCATTTTCCATATACCAGAGGGTTTATGCACCTCATGTGCAGAGAACACATTCCACCTAATATATCACCATAAGTGCTGACTAAAGCTAATCAAAAATGTTCAATCATCCTGACTCGTGCATTTGCATCAGCAAGTAATGAATAAGGATTTTTTTATGGGATGTCTATTTTCTTCAAAATTAGGGGAAAAATTGGCAATCACTACTCAGTAAGTCATTTAACACTAACACAAACAGTAAGTTGAAATCATACACGTGAAACTTTCAAGACTCCCTATTCTACATCATTTCTTACCTGTGATTATATGCTATTTGGAGATTGCTTTGTTTTATAAAGCAATAAAAAGAAAAGGGAGATAGGTAGGATTGTTGTTTCATTTGAAAGGGAAAAAAAGAAGCCCTGGTATACAAAAAACCTCGTTGATTGGATACCAAAGCTACGTAAAGAAAAAGTCTTTGTTCTAATACATAAGCCTAAATGTGTTAGACAATTAAAAGTTACCTAAACAGCGCCCTTTAGCATTGCCTTTTATGATGCCCATCGCTGTGGTCCTTAAAAGATTGTATTAGTAGTCATTTCCATCCAATACACGCCATAAGGACAGTAAAAAAAGGAATAAGGGAAATCAAATATAAATATTCTAAAAACATTTTTCGAAATAATGTAATAGCTAAGTGGTAGCATATGTAGCTATTATTTTAGTTGACATATATATCAACTTAGACTTGATTTTTCGTCAACCAAAATCATTTTTTTGAACCTTAATCAGTGCATGTGCATAGGTATCTTAAAGATAATTACACATAAAAAAGAAAAGATGCAACAGAGACGAAAAAGAACAACCAGGTAATGTTATTCTATCTAAGCAGAAAGCTACTTAGCCTAAGATGAAAATATTTTCAGATACAACATAGAGTTACATATAATTTAAGCTCATCATATTTCCAATGTAATTATAATCTTTTGTTTACACAATAACTAAGTTTCATTCCTCTATGTCAATACATTCCAATACATTCAGCACCTACGATTTTCGAAACATGATTTTTTAGGGGATATTGTTTGTGTATTTAACACAAAAAACTATTGTAGTGTATACTCAAACTAAATAAATAAACAGTTTCTATTCATGTATTGTAAAACAAAGAAAACGCAATATTAAACAAAACAATAACTTCCAAAAGGAAGTCATTAAAAAAATAAATTACTGTAACTATTTTCATATTAATTTGTAAGCAATAAAAAAGGTATCAGAGAAAATCCAACTCAAAAAACTATCGATTTGTATTTTTACAACATTAAAAACTATAATAATGATGAGATATATTTATATTTTCAAAAAAATGCCTATGATTGTCGTTATTTATACATAATATGTACCTATATATATGCATATTTATACAGTAAATGATATTTAACTCCAAGAAATTCTATTCAATAACTCTGTAAATAGATAGCTGAGACCAAGCATATATAA